GCACTAGGTACAAAAAATTGTTCCTCTCAGGACCTTAAGGACAAAAATGTCCCCATTGAAACCCATTAAAACTGCTATTTTTAATCGCAGTGCCATTTAACTGTAAAATTATGCAATTTTTGTTGATAGGCTTTCATTATATTGGCAAGGCTTTAAAATTAATTTTTTTACAATTTTTTACCAGATGGTGCCATTTTTTCAGGTTTGACCTATGCAAATTTGGAATACAACTTGTTTAGATTTATGGCTTTGATTTTCTAGCAGGTATAGAGTTCAACATGTTTCATAAAATATGTATTTTATATAAAAAATCGTTCATAAATCATTTTCATAAACCTAAACATCTAGAACTTTTTTTTTGTTTCGTTTTTTAAACTTTTTTTTACTTCAACAATAATCTGCCATGGGTCTTCTTTAAAATGAGACCAAACTTAACTCTGTGCTCCCAAGCTTCAAATTTTTATGACAGTTTTTTGACATGGACATTTTTGTCCACTATGGACCTATGTGTAACTTTTTTTAATTGACGCACAAGGGTTAAGACATTTTAAGGAACCACGGCCACCCTGTTAGAGAAGATTTTACACAAAAAAAAAAGCTAAGTATTACTACTTAGAAATTAAGATTACATTGCTAGCCCACCCTGACACTTATGAACCATAATAATGATAAATGATAACCAATAATTAATTACATAAATATATTAATTATATGTTTTTTAGTAAAACAAGCTAAATGTAATTTGTTTTGTCATGTGCCATAGCTATGCATGACTACACACTAGACAAATGCAGCCAAGGTGAATACGTCTCAATTTTCCATCAAGTAATGAATTAATGCATAAGTTAATGAAACTATTATATTTTATTTACGGACAACAACGTAAAACATGAATAAAAGAATAAATAAAAGTAACCATGACAATAAATAAATACAAGTTAACAACACATGAAACAAAGCTTTATTCAAACTAATAAACCCACATCCTACTGCCATCTCAACACAGCTGTGCCAGTTCTGCAGCTTTAATTTGATGAAGCAGCTGACCACCGTGTCCAACTTCACCTGTCTGACTGCAATCTTTTTGTAAATCATGATCATAAATCAACTGTGACTTGACTCATGAAGATCAGCTGTGACTGGATTTGACTAAGGATTGGCAGCTGTGACTTGACTCACGAAGATCAGCTGTGACTTGGTTCATGAAGATCAGCTGTGACTTGACTTGCCTCATGATGATCAACTGTGATTTGACTTGCCTCATGACGATCAACTGTGATTTGACTTGATTCATGACGATCAGCTGTGATTTGACTTGACTCATGAAGAACAACTGTGACTTGATTTGACTCAGGATTGGCAGCTGTGACATAACAGGGTGCTGTTGAGTCCACCATTTTGTGAGCGTGCGCTAGTGTGGCCGCCATTACACGAGTGAGTGCGAGGTCGTGTTCCTCCGGGACACCCACAGTGAACGTAGAACCAACAGTCAACAAAGCATAGTCCATAAAATCACTTTGAGATGTACGGGGACTCTCACATATTAGTCGCGATTTGAGCAGCTGGTTAATGCCGTCACAAAAGAAGTCTATCAGCACACAGTCCGGCAGATCAGAGAAACATGCAAGATCTAAATTCTCTTGAATATAGCTCTCGAGCGATCGGGTGCCCTGCTCGAGAGCTAATAACAGTCTTGCGGTGTCCATACCTGAGTAATGAATTAATGCATAAGTTAATGAAACTATTATATTTTATTTACGGACAACAACGGAAAACATGAATAAAAGAATAAATAAAAGTAACCATGACAATAAATAAATACAAGTTAACAACACATGAAACAAAGCTTTATTCAAACTAATAAACCCACATCCTACTGCCATCTCAACACAGCTGTGCCAGTTCTGCAGCTTTAATTTGATGAAGCAGCTGACCACCGTGTCCAACTCACCTGTCTGACTGCAATCTTTTTGTAAATCATTATCATAAATCAACTGTGACTTGACTCATGAAGAACAACTGTGACTTGACTCATGAAGAACAACTGTGACTTGACTCAGGAAGAACAACTGTGACTTGACTCAGGAAGAACAACTGTGACTTGACTCAGGAAGAACAACTG